CTCCAGGTGCGCGACGTCCGCATCATCTCGGACCGGAACTCGCGGCGCTCCAAGGGCATCGCCTACGTGGAATTCTGCGAGATCCAATCGGTGCCCTTGGCCATCGGCCTCACCGGCCAGCGCCTGCTCGGCGTGCCCATCATCGTCCAGGCCTCCCAGGTCAGCCCCCCGAGTTTTGGGGTGAATTCCGGCAATTTTGGGCAATTTTTCGGAATTTTTTTGGCGATTTTTAAGGCGATTTTTGGCGGGTTTTGGCGGGTTTTATGTATCTTCCAGGACCTTTCCAATTGGTTTCTTAATTGTTTTTTAAAGATTTTTAGGGGTTGTTGTTGGAATTTGGGGAATTTTAGGAATTTTTGGGAATTTTTTTGGAATTTTTTGGGGAATTTTTAGGGATTTTTTGGCGATTTTTTTTGCGGGTTTTATGTATCTTCCAGGACCTTTCCAATTGATTTTTTTATTGTTTTTAAAGACTTTTAGGGGTTGTTGTTGGAATTTGGGGAATTTTAGGAATTTTTTGGGGATTTTTGATAATTTTTGGGAATTTTTTTGGAATTTTTTGGGGAATTTTAAGGAATTTTTGGCGATTTTTTTGGCAATATTTGGTGGCTTTTATGTGTCTTCCAGGACCTTTCCAATTGATTTTTTTTTTATTATTTTTAAAGACCTTTAGGGGTTGTTTTAGGGATTTGGGGAATTTTAGGAATTTTTTGGGAATTTTTTTGGAATTTTTTGGGCGATTTTTAAGGCGATTTTTGGCGGTTTTTGGCGGGTTTTACGTATCTTCCAGGACCTTTCCAATTGATTTTTTTATTGTTTTTTAAAGATTTTGAGGGGTTATTTTTGGAATTTTGGGTATTCTAGGAATTTTTTGGGGATTTTTGATAATTTTTGGGAATTTTTTTGGAATTTTTTGGGGAATTTTTAGGGATTTTTTGGCAATTTTTTTGGCGGTTTTTATATATCTTCCAGGACCTTTCCAATTGGTTTTTCATTGTTTTTAAAAACTTCTAGGGGTTGTTTTAGGGATTTGGGGAATTTTAGGAATTTTTGGGGATTTTTGATAATTTTTGGGAATTTTTTTGGAATTTTTTGGGTGATTTTTAAGGCGATTTTTGGCGGGTTTTATGTATCTTCCAGGACCTTTCCAATTGATTCCTTAATTGTTTTTAAAGATTTTTAGGGGTTGTTTTAGGGATTTGGGGAATTTTAGGAATTTTTGGGGATTTTTGATAATTTTTGGGAATTTTTTTGGAATTTTTTGGGCGATTTTTAAGGCGGTTTTTGGCGGGTTTTATGTATCTTCCAGGACCTTTCCAATTGATTCCTTAATTGTTTTTAAAGGCTTTTAGGGGTTGTTTTGGAAATTTGGGGAATTTTAGGAATTTTTTTGTATTTTTGATAATTTTCGGGAATTTTTTTGGAATTTTTTGGGGAATTTTAATGAATTTTTGGCGGTTTTTGGCGGTTTTTATGTATCTTCCAGGACCTTTCCAATTGATTTTTTTAATTGTTTTTAAAGGCTTTTAGGGGTTGTTTTGGAAATTTGGGGAATTTTAGGAATTTTTGGGCTGAATTTTGGGTCAATTTTCTCCATTTTGGGTCAATTTTCTCCATTTTGGGTCAATTTTCTCCATTTTGGGTCCATTTCCTCCATTTTTGGGTCAATTTTCTCCATTTTTGGGTCCATTTTCTCCATTTTTGGGCAGATTTTTCCCATTTTCGGGTGGGGTTTTCTCCCCCCTGTGCCACCTGTGCCACCTGAGCCAAATTTTGGGTCAATTTTCTCCATTTTTGGGTCAACTTTTGCCTTTTGCCATTTTGGGTCAACTTTTGCCATTTTGGGTCGATTTCCTCCATTTTTGGGTCAATTTTCTCCATTTTTGGGTCGATTTTCTCCATTTTTGGGTGGGGTTTTCTCTCACCTGTGCCACCTGAGCCAAATTTGGGTCGATTTTCTCCATTTTTGGGTCAATTTTCTCCATTTTTGGGTCAATTCTCTCCATTTTTGGGTCCATTTCGGCCGTTCCTGGGCGGATTTCGTTGGGGTTTTTTGCATTTTGGGTGGAATTTTCCCCATTTTCGGGCGGGTTCGGGTGGGTTTCGTGCCCACCCGTGCCACCTGAGCCAAATTTTGGGTCAATTTAACCCACTTTTGGGTCAATTCCCTCCATTTCGGCCGTTCCTGGGCGGATTTTTTTGGGGTTTTTTGCGTTTTGGGTGGAATTTTCCCCATTTTCGGGCGGGTTCGGGTGGGTTTCGTGCCCACCCGTGCCCACCCGTGTCCCCCCCAGGCCGAGAAGAACCGGCTGGCGGCCATGGCGGCGCCCCTGCAGAAGGGCTCGGGCGGCCCCTTGCGCCTCTACGTCGGCTCCCTGCACTGCAACATCACCAAGGAGATGCTGCGCGGCATCTTCGAGCCCTTCGGCAAGGTGGGGGCACAGCTGGCAACATCTGGCAGGGCTGGGCAACAGCTGGACGAGGCCGGGAGGGGGAGGGCAAAAAAAACCGCGTGAAAATCGGGCGAAAAATGGGGATTTTAGGGCAAAAAATGGGGATTTGGGGTGAAAAATGGGGATTTTGGGGTGAAAAATGGGGATTTTGGGGGTTTGGGCACAGCTGGAAAAGGTGGGAAGAGCTGGGAACAGCTGGGCGAGGCCGGGAGGGGGAGGGCAAAAAAAACCGCGTGAAAATCGGGCGAAAAATGGGGATTTTAGGGCAAAAATGGGGATTTGGGGTAAAAATGGGGAAATTTTATTAAAAATGGGATTTTTGGGGTGAAAAATGGGGATTTTGGGGGTTTGGGCACAGCTGGCACAGGTGGGAACAGCTGGGCGAGGCCGGGAGGGGAGGGGCAAAAAAAAACGCGTGAAAATCGGGCGAAAAATGGGGATTTTAGGGCAAAAAATGGGGATTTTGGAATAAAATGGGGATTTTGGGGTAAAAAATGGGGATTTTGGGGTTTGGGCACAGCTGGCAACATCTGGCAGGGCTGGGGAACAGCTGGGCGAGGCCGGGAGGGGAGGGGCAAAAAAAACCGCGTGAAAATTGGGTGAAAAATGGGGATTTTAGGGCAAAAAATGGGGATTTGGGGTGAAAATGGGGATTTTGGGGTGAAAAATGGGGATTTTGGGGCAAAAAATGGGGATTTTGGAATAAAATGGGGATTTTGGGGTTTGGGGTACCTGGGCACAGCTGGGAGGGGGAAAATGCAAAAAACCCCGTGAAATTTGGGTGAAAAATGGGGATTTTAGGGCAAAAAATGGGGGAAACTTGGATTAAAAATGGGGATTTTGGAATAAAACGGGGAATTTTGGGGTGAAAAATGGGGATTTTGGGTGAAAATGGTGAAATTTGGTTAAAAGTAGGGATTTGGGGTGAAAAGTGGGGATTTTGGCGGGTTTGGGAGCACCTGGGCACCCCTGGGTGGGATTTTGGGGTTTTTTGGGGGGATTTTGGGTGATTTTGGTGGATTTTGGGGTGATTTGGGTCATTTCAGGTAATTTTGGGGGGATTTGGGGTGATTTTGGGTAATTTCGGGTAATTTCAGGTGATTTCAGGTAATTTTGGGGGGATTTGGGTCATTTCAGGTAATTTTGGGGGGATTCTGGGTGATTTCGGGTTTTTTGGGGTAATTTTGGGTGATTTGGGGTGAATTTAGCTGGTTTGGGGTAATTTTGGGGTGATTTGGGGTGATTTCGTGTTCGGGTAATTTTGGGTAATTTTTGGTGATTTTGGGCTGATTTTGGCTGATTTTGGGTGTTTTTGGGGTGATTTTGGGCTGATTTTGGCTGATTTTGGGCTGATTTTGGGCTGATTTTGGGTGATTTTGGCTGATTTTGGGTGTTTTTGGGCTGATTTTGGGGTGATTTTTGCTGATTTTGGGTGATTTTGGGGTGATTTGGGCTGATTTTGGGTGTTTTTGGCTGATTTTGGCTGATTTTGGCTGATTTTGGCTGATTTTGGCTGATTTTGGCTGATTTTGGCTGATTTTGGGTGATTTTGGGCTGATTTTGGCTGATTTTGGCTGATTTTGGGCTGATTTTGGCTGATTTTGGCTGATTTTGGCTGATTTTGGCTGATTTTGGCTGATTTTGGGTGTTTTCCCCCCGCAGATCGAGAGCATCGTGCTGATGCGGGACCCGGAGACGGGACAGTCCAAAGGCTACGGCTTCATCACCGTGAGCGCACACCTGGGCACACCTGGGCACACCTGGGCACACCTGGGCACACCTGGGCACGGCCGGGAGGGGAAAAACAAAAAAAACCGCGTGAAAATCGGGTGAAAAACGGCGATTTTAGGGCAAAAAATGGGGAGATTCGGGAAAAAAATGGNGGGTGAAAAACGGCGATTTTAGGGCAAAAAATGGGGAGATTCGGGTTAAAAATGGCGATTTTGGGGTGAAGAATGGGGATTTTGGGGTGAAAAATGGGGATTTTGGGGAGTTTGGGCACAGCTGGCACAGCTGGGCACACCTGGGCACGGCCGGGAGGGGAAAAACAAAAAAAACCGCGTGAAAATCGGGTGAAAAATGAGGATTTTGGTCAAAAAAAGGTAATTTTGGGTGAAAAATGAGGATTTTGGTCAAAAAATGGGGATTTTGGGGTGAAAAATGGGGATTTTGGGGAGTTTGGGCACAGCTGGCACAGCTGGCACGGCTGGGCACGGCCGGGAGGGGAAAAACAAAAAAAACCGCGTGAAAATCGGGTGAAAAATGAGGATTTTGGACAAAAAATTGGGATTTTGAGGAGAAAAATGGGGATTTTGGGTGAAAAATGGGGAATTTGGGTGAAAAATGGAAATTTGGGGCGGAAATGGGGATTTTGGGGAGTTTGGGCACAGCTGGGCACGGCCGGGAGGGGAAAAACAAAAAAAAACGCGTGAAAATCGGGTGAAAAATGAGGATTTTGGTCAAAAAATGGGGATTTTGGCTGAAAAATGAGGATTTTGGTCAAAAAATGGGGATTTTGGGGTGAAAAATGATGATTTTGGTAAAAAAATTGGGATTTTGGGGAGTTTGGGCACAGCTGGCACAGCTGGGCACGGCTGGGCACGGCCGGGAGGGGATGGGCAAAAAAAACCGCGTGAAAATCGGGTGAAAAATGGGGATTTTGGACAAAAAATTGGGATTTTGAGGAGAAAAATGGGAATTTTGGGTTAAAAATGGGGAATTTGGGTGAAAAATGGAAATTTGGGGTGGAAATGGGGATTTTGGGGAGTTTGGGGACAGCTGGGTATGGCCGAGAGGGGAAAAACAAAAAAAACCCGGTGAAAATCGGGTGAAAAATGAGGATTTTGGTCAAAAAATGGGGATTTTGGGGTGAAAATGAGGATTTTGGTCAAAAAATGGGGATTTTGGGGTGAAAAATGATGATTTTGGTAAAAAAATGGGGATTTTGGGGAGTTTGGGCACAGTTGGCACGGCTGGGCAGGTGTCGGAGGAGGAGTGACCCCAAAAATCCCATTTTTCCTCCAAAAATCCCCATTTTTTACCCAAAATCCATATTTTTCTCAAAAAAATCCCATTTTTTCACCAAAAAATCCCCATTTTTTTTTCCCCCGAAAGTCCCCATTGTTTCACAGAAAAAATCCCCATTTTTTTCTCCAAAAAAAATCACTTTTTTCCTCCAAAAAACCCAAATTTTTTTACCAAAAAATACCCATTTTTTTTCCCCTAAAATCCCCATTTTCCACCTGAAAATCCCCAATATTTTTTCCCTCAAAAATCCCATTTTTTCCCAAAAAAACCCCAATTTTTTTTCCAAAAAAATCCCATTTTTCCTCGTAAAATGCCCATTTTTTGTCGTGAAAACCTCATTTTATCACCAAAATTCCCCATTTTTCCCCCAAAAATCCCCCATTTTTTTTCACCAAAAACTCCACATTTTTTGTCCTAAAACCCCCATTTTTTCACCAAAAATCCCCATTTTTTC